GCAGCCTGATTGATGCGCGTTTGAGTAATCGTTATCAGAATCCGCGAGCAATTGAACAAACTATTCTTCTAGTTATTCAGATAATCAGACTGATAATGTTTATTTTACTGACTACCGTTGCACTGGAAAGGATGTAAAGCACCTTTGTCGGTATTGCTGAAGAGAATGAAATAGAAAAGTTGCTACTCATTATACTAATGATCATGCTACTTGTTGTCTAGATCTTCACAAGATTATTTGTTACTCATATTTTGGAAGCTTTTGAGACTTCATAAAGACAATGATAAGAGAACAAGAATAAAATGACGAACAGAACTCAGGTAAACCGTTTTTTTTTGTTGATTCTTCTGACAGTGATGTTCTGTATAAGATCCACACAGTTACAATGCAACCTAAAGAAAGGGTGTTGGTGTGGGTGTAGGTGTGAGGAAGATAATAATATCCACACCCACACCTCACAATCACACGCACACCCGCCCACACCCACATCCACACTCAGCCACACCCCACGCCCACACACCCACACACCCACCCCACACCCAAAATAGCCTTCTTTTGACCAACAAATAAATGTCGCAAGTTTTTGTTACCAGCTATTCTGTGACATAATGGTTATTGACCATCCCTAGTCTGTTTCAGAGTCAAAACTCGAACTCTATCTCTACCTTTGACTTGCATTCTAAATAACTTGGGCAGAAAAACACACATACATTTTCTCTTGTAATAATCTTTTTTCAGAAAAAAAGAATAATGATGATAATAATATTAATGCAAAAAAGGGAGAGAAGAGAAAAAGAAAAATCAATAATCAATGATCAAAGATATTAATAAAATAACAGCGAAGATCAGAAGGAAAACATCAAAGAAAATGAGAAACGCCAAAGATAGTTTGTGAGAAAGCTAATGTCAATGAGTGACATCTATTAACCTTACTACGTCCTAATAAGCTTAACTTTTTCCGTTCGACGCACAATGAAGTGATGGAAGGAGAGAACGAAATGGTAGTTGGAAAGTTCCAAGTTAGTCTTACAATGGAACATAAAATAAATATATGTCGTTTATTGAATTATACTGAGTTATATACCTCATATAAGAATGAATTCTTTTTCGTGCCTCTGTCTTGGTGAACCCTTTTCCAATTGCTGCTGTTGTCGAAAGGAGCCACCATCTGACCAGCATGAACACTATGATTTCCAACACATTCTACAAATACCCGTTGACAATAACAACGCATCTGCCGTTCCAAGTGCCGCTAAACATTCTTGCTGTAACGTATCATTAACGTGCGATGATACAGTTACTCTCATTGTGTTAGATGAAATTGTCGATTCAACATTATCTACAATTACAAATGACTTCCGACGTTTAGTTGATTTCTATTTTTACTACATAAATGTTCATGGATGCATAGAATTGATTAAAACTAAGAGTAATGAGAGAAAAGAAAAAATTATTTGAGTGTCATTAGGAAATGGCGGGGAACATGTGTACAAAAAATGTCAAGCATGCGCTCAACTCATCGCAATATACCTTGTCGGTGCACCTGACAAGATAAAAGATTCTGATCCTCGTATACGTTCTTTCGGCGATGTTTCAAGTCTTCTTCGTAGTGTCGAAGATTACCTCCAACCCTTACACCGTCACCTACTTGCTCTTCGATTTTTTGATCAGCAACAACGTTCTATAATCGACTTGTCAAAGGAAGGGGCACGATTTATGTGGACTCAACTTTTGTTGGATGTCTTGAAAGCATTACCATCCAGCGATCGAACCATGACCGAAATGTTGACGAATTGTGTAGATTACTATATGGATCAAAAAGAAACTCTCAAAAAAATTGAGGAATTTCGTGAGACATACAGACCAGAAGAAGCCGCTAAATGGTATACAGCATCGAGTTTTGTCTATAAATTACTGAACAAAGCATTACGTTCTGATGATATCGATGCATTGCGTATTTTTCGATGGTACATACTCGACCTATGTGGACAGCTCGAAACACTTCATGATCAGCAGCAGCATTTAAAACCATCTCTGAAACGCGTGTTTCGTGGTCAACGATTGACTTTAGGAGAACTCGAGTTGCTCGAAGCGCATATAGGTAACCTTGTCTCGACAAACAGTTTTTTTTCAAGTTCTAAGAAAGAAAACGTCGCCAAGCTCTTTATGAAATCATCCAACGAACATCGTCAAGCGGTACTTTTTATTATTGATGTCGATATGAGTTTGAAGTCGACTATTTGTGCTGACATTAGCACAGTGAGTCATATTCGTGACGAATGTGAAGTGCTTTTCATTCTTTCTGCCGTATTTAAAATTGCTGACGTACGTCGTCCTTTCTGTTCTCATGTGGCAACACAACATTCGAGTGATTTAATATCACCCTACTGGAAAGTATATCTGACGATGACAGACGAAGGACGTGAACGACTAAACGAATACCAAAAATTATTGAGCATTAATGACGAAGAAGACGATCCACAAATTACGTTTGGACGATTAGAAATTCAAATGGGAGAACTTGCAAAAGCAGCGGAGTACTTTACGACTCTCCTTGCCCACATGCCAGAAAAAAAGGCTTATGACCGATCAAAAATCTGCCAGCTTCATGGATGCGCACTCTTTCGCCTTGGTAAGTACGATGAAGCTCTTGCCAAGTTGCAAAAAGGAATACAAATTCTTGAAAAAGCTGAAATTAAAACAAATGATCCAACCTATCTACGAGGTCAATTCCGAATTGCAAATGTATACGTTTTCAAAAGTGAATATGATGATGCCATTACACTGTATACTGATGTTCTTGCTAAGCAACGAAGAGTTCTTCGACCGGATCACCGACACATTGCCGACACACTGAGTGGTCTCAGTTGGGCTCATGGAAAGAAGGGAAACTTAGAAGAAGCACTAAAATTTGATCTTGATGCCCTTAAAATAAAAAAAAGCTTTATGCCTGCCCATCATCCATTGATCACAGAGGCGTACAAATCCATTGGAGGAATCTATGTAAGTTTATGCCGATTTAAAGATGCTTTGGAAAATTTCAACATCGCTTTGCAAACCAGTGAGAAATATCTGCTACCTGATCATCCAACTATTGCCGAAACACTAGCAGAAATTGGATGTGCGCATGACAATTTAGGCAATAAAGAGGAAGCAATGAAAAACTACGAGAAGGCACTTGAAATTCGGGAAAAGAATTTTCCTGGCGGACATGCATCAACTGCTAACGTCCTTGATTCATTGGGATGTCTTTATCGACAGTACAAAGAGTTTGATAAAGCTTTGGAATATCATGATCGAGCAGCAAAACTACGACAACGTCTGCTCGAACCTGACCACGTGGATGTAGCCGCTGGATTACATTGTCTGGCCAATGTCTATTTCGATATGGACGAAAACTTGAAAGCTATAAAGCTTTTTGAAAAAGCTTGTGAGATAAAGAAAAAACACTTGAAGGATAACAGTGTTTCGGTGTGCTGAACTCAAAGTTGTTTAGCTGCTGCGTACAGTAAAAATGGTGAGTATAAAAGAGCACAAAAATTGTTCGAAAAAACATTGATTGATCAACAAGCTGCATATCCGCCGAATGGCGATCATCTTGATGTTGCTACTACACTTTATCAAATGGGTGATAATCTATTGAGAATGGAAAGACGAGAAGAAGCATTGAAATGTTTTCGAAAACATCTGCAAATAAAAGCAAAGTTTTTGGGCGAAACAGATCCTGGCGTCTTGACTACAAAAAAGATGATGGAAGAACTTGAAAATGACGAATGACATATCAATATTAAATATAATGAAATCATTTCTGACTTATATTTAACCTTCTATAGGAGGCACAAACCGATTTGGATCTGACACTTCTCTATACGGTTACTCAAAGTAATTGATACACATAAGTAATAAAAAATCATTAACTGTTATCATCCATTTCTTTTTCATCTCCACTGGTATGAACCAGAATTATAAGTAATCCGGTCTGATCGGTTGATACACTTGAACTAACTGGCTTTTCTTGACAGCAAGCAACTAGGCGAATATGATCGAAAGTTCTCTCTACCAAAATTCAAATATTGGAATGAATACACTTATGGTTACTCTATCTTACTCTAAAATAAGATTTCCAGAAACTAAGTCGAACGCTGAGAATGCCGACTGTTAAAAATATCCTTGTAAATTGGTAGTTATTCATAAATCATACGCACTATCAGGCTATGGAAATATTTCAAAATGAAAAACTATCGGAGCCTAATGATTGACCGATAAGCTTCACTGTATGAAGAAATTGTTTCAATTGAATCAGAAATGTAGTAGAAAAAAGCAATTACTGGCCCGAAAGTAGGTTCTAAAATTGGTTGTATCATAGTTTGTGAACGTGACAATGAATTCTAATCTAATCAGGCTAAAACTTTCGTCAATTATTCTTCTGTATATAATTTATCGTTAGCCATAGCGGCGATTCGTATCAGCGGGTAGAGACAAAGCTGTAAGTTCCCTAAAAAAATCTGATTTCAGGTTCGGAATCGTTAATTTTGCCAAAACAAAGATCTTGTGGCACAAAACCAAGGTGTTATACGGAACCAGTTCGTCAAAGCCTATCGCATCATATGTAGCAATAAGTTTTTCTCAAAAGCAAAAGTCAGTTTCTGAGTTTCACAATGTTTTGGAAAACAGCCTCTCCGTAGTTTGCAAATCAGATAAGGAATTCTAGTCCAATCGATCTGAAACACTCAGCAGTTATTCTTATGAATATGATTTATCGTTGACCATGGCGCCACTTAAGGGTATGGATGTAGGTGTGGGTGCTAGTACGGGTGTGAGTGTAGGTATAACCTCAGTTTGACACCCACAACCGACACCCGACACCCCACACCCACACCCCACTCCTCACACCCACACCCAACACCTACCCACATCCACACCCTCCATAAAAACCGTTAACACGATTTCATTATATAACATGCAAACAAATTTGTACTCTTTTATACATGGATTTCATTTTAGAGCCAACTCATGATCGGCGTAATTGCTTTTTCTTGATAGAGTATCGCGAGTTGACCTTGAATTCCTTGGATATTTTGCATTATTTGCTTGGCCGAAAAGAAGATATTGCCAAGAGCAAGGCGATCACTCATTGATCGAGTCAAATGGATTTGTCGAACGATTTCTGTGACCGACCAATTGGTGGTTCCCGTTAAACGATAGACTGCATTGCCTGGATAAACATGACGACCTCTAGATGTTTGTTGAATCCACCATTTGAGCAGGGCTGAATACGATTGTGCTGGTGGATCGATTTGCCAGTAGAGTTGAGGTGTTAGATAATCGACAAGACCTTCTTGGAGCCAAAGTCGACTATCGCAGAAAAGACTATCATAAGAAGAAAGACCAGTAATACTCGGCGGAAAACCATTTTTCCAAATCCCAAATGGTGAAATACCAAATTTGACTTTTGGTCGAATTGTATGAATCCGTCGATTCAATGAATAAACTAAACTGTTGACATTCGAACGTCGCCAATCGTTTAGATTCAATGTTCCGCCTTGCTCTTGAAAGCGAGCATAAGTTGCATGATCGGGGAATTCAGTTCCATCACTGTATGGATAGAAATAATCATCCATGTGAATACCATCTACAGCGTATCGATTAATGATATCTTCAACAACTTCACCGATAAAATCTTGTATTTCAGAAGAACCTGGATCCATCCAGATTTGATTTGCATACGAGTAGGCATAAGTAGCGAATCGTTTGGCCATATGATTTGATGCCAGTTCGTATGTTGCACTACTGAGTCGTGCACGATATGGGTTGATCCAAGCATGGACTTCAATATTTCGTTTGTGTGCCTCATCAACAATAAATGCTAGAGGGTCCCAGAGAGGCGATGGTGGAACGCCATGATCACCAGTTAAATAGATGCTCCATGGCTCAAGAGTCGATGCATATAAGGCATCTCCGGCTGGTCGAACCTGAAAAGAATTACTTATTCATTGCTTTTGTCATTCAATGGATTGTACCTGGAAAATAACTGCATTCATATTCAATCGTTCCATCATATTCAAAATATTAAGAAGTTCAGTTTGTTGTTGAGTAACAGAAATCATTGATGACGATGGCCAATCAATATTAAAAACTGTCGCAATCCAAATAGCTCGAAACTCTTGTTTTTCTGTTTGATTCAACGAAAAACAACATGTCACATTCGACGATTCAGATTCACAGAGACTAGACATCATTTATTTGAATATCTATTATGATCAATACATGAGTCTATACCAAACTGTTCATGAACATACGTATCATAAGACTAGAGTCAAGCTTCGAACAAGGAACTGATTCAGACAAGCAAAATAGAGCAAAACACAGGAATCGCGTTAAGTTTGAGATCATTTTCATATATGACGCAGAACGCGATTGACTAAGAGTAATATACTTGTTTTTTTTTTACAAAAACACCGCTATTGTTTTCGTTCTCTGAAGAGTGCTACTTTTTTTTCGTTTGAGAAGCTAATCGATAGACAAGTTAAGAAGACACAGCGGACTCTTCAATCGTAACTTTCTCAGTCAATAATGAATTCATTGCAGACGTAGTTAAATCTCAAATGGTCATCTGGTCAACCAACTGTACTGAATCCCATCAGAGAGTTTATTATGATCATTGTTTTCTTTTCATAAATCCACGCCTTGTAGCATGAAAATTCGTCTCAGTAGCAGCAGACCAACCCAAGTGATTCAATTCGGCTCATAGATCCTATTCAAAAAGACTGAATTACCTGGAAATCCGGCGTCTTCCTTAAAAATCGATAGGATACAACCTTGTTTTTGACGGATTCCTTGTAGCTTGATTATACTGTAAAAAACCGATCGTTTCTTATAGAGTCCAATAGTTAAATATTATCGAATTCATCAAGATCTTCATAGGCAAGAAATCACCAAATGAAGCACTCTACAATAGATCAAGTCAGATTTCAACGGATTCTGACGTCTGAAATTCAGAGAGAACTATGTCAGAAGATATGCTATATGACCCTACCAATTGTAACTGACCTAGTGATCTACGGTTTAGGGTGGTGCGTCAATGTTACTGTGTTTTTCGCCATATTTTGCGCAGAAATAAATGAAACAGCGTGGAAAAACATCCGAGATTGTCTTATTTGAAAGTGCCAAATGCCGAAATCATCGATCTGGGAAAAACGAATTGATTGGAAAAACTGTATTATAGTAATTTGGGATGCTGATGCTTATCCATCGAGGTACGTTCATTTGAAATGACTCTTACCGAAATTTTACGCCAGACCTGTGGAAATACCTATGCTTGAAGCTAGTAAGCTCTGTGTATGTGATAATAGTCCATCAACTGTGAAGGCACTCACTTTAGCCACGGACTTTTTGCATATGACTGGCTTTCTAATAAAGCGCTATTGTATATGGTAGTCCAATTCTATAGCTGATTCACAGATAAGATGCTTTTTTTCAAATACAAAAGTTCAACTCAACTAAAATTTAAATATAATATCCGTAATCAGTGCTCACAACCACATATCAATGAAATGTATCACAAGACATTTGAATAAAGGAACATTTGTGAATCTTGCTCAGTACTACAGGGACAAAAACCTTACAACGAAAGATTTTTTACTATAAATTAAAAACAGGAGATATATTCGGATCAAATAAAAGCTCTTGGTGTCAAACTAAGGAATTCAAAAATGCAGTGTCTATAGTGTGCATGGACTGAAATGTTCAAAGATTTAGATGTGTACAATGTGTGTAATGTGCCTCGATATTAAAGAGAAAATGGCGAAAACTCCATCTTTTATCGTATCTCAACATTTGAGTGATAGTGAAATTTGATGATGTATTCAATCTTTATATCGGAAAGGTTAATGCAGAATCAATCCAAACGGATATACTCGTGGCATATGTTGATAGTAAATTTGAGATATATATGAAGTTCTTGAGGATGGTTTTGACGTACCAGTAAAATATCTATAGATACGAAATTTTCGCTTTTTTCCCTTATTAGATATGCATCAGTTTCAGTTATGACTTTTTGACTGCTATCAATTGGACTGAATATACATTCATAGTTTTGGTACTAATTTCTACGAATCCTTGTTCTATAACAACTAATTATCAAGTATGCTAAGTATACATGCGATTCAATTATTAAAAGAGAAACTGGCACACATTTAACTGACGCTGATGCACACTTAAATTTGCCCACAATTTAAAATTTCAGCAAAATATTTTTTTCTTTTTTTGTATCGTTAGATAGAACTCGTCGACTTAAATAAGAAAATGTATCTTTCAAGTTTAAAACAAATTCACCTAAAAAAATCCAAGATATCATTAATTTCAAATATAAGGAGAACTAGACTCAAAATTCTGACTTTTAGGAAACTTCTGTTTTATATATTTGAAAAGTACGTTTTCTTGTGTAACTCGATGAGTTCTATATAACTACCACAAAAACAGAAAAATAAATTCTGCTGAAATGTTGAATTATGAGCACATTGCATAAACTGTATGTATTCTAAAATTTAGATATTTCGATCTAGGTACCTAAGGGCAACTCATATTTTTAATTTGTTAGTTTGGCAGTGAGAGTTTTTATCTGATCCGAATATTTTTAGTCTTGTAACTTACAATATAAAACCTTCCATTGTTACTTCAAAATGGTGCAAAATTAACAGAAAAACCTTTCCAGATGATAAAAAAGCTTTTCTAACAAGACTTTTATCATTTGGTAGAATCTACTCAGAGTAGACAAACTCTATAATGATTCATCTCATTATTGCTTTCTTCTCGAATTATGGCCATATTACTGAGTCTTTGTCTAAGTGCACGGTATATCATGAAAATTCCAATCTCGCAGTTTTGGTCTCAAATTTTACCCATAAAAACAAGTCTTATGATATCTGTCGAATACTGGAAGCTTCAACTAGAATGGATGTTCTCTTCTTAGGATGTCAGATGCACAGTCTATGCGTATATTTTAGAAAACATTCGGAAAAACTCAGTTTTCTTGTAAATTTGCTGTATCAGAAAGTAAATATGCGTCCTAACTGAAACTTTCAGTGCACGGTAGAGACCATAAAAGACTTTTTATGGGTACAGTCTGAGACCAAAATTGCGAGATCGAAGGACTTAGTCAACGACTCAGTAATATGGTTATAATTCGACAAGAAAACAACAATGAAATAAATCATTATAGTATTTGTCTACTCTCAGTAGATCCTGCCGAATGGCATAAATTTTGTCCCTGAAGCTTTTTGTCAACTAGGGAGTTTCCCTTGTAAATAGTAGGAAAAACTTCTAGTGATCCTCTGACACCTTCCCGAGAGGTAAAAGAGAATGATAATCCTGGTGCACGTTTCTGGTAGTTACATTAAATCTAGTACGTGTTTTTGTCAAATTGTTAATTAATGATTAACAAGTAAGTAAAGTGCAGGTGTTTATGTCCTCATGCCAGGGTCACCAATTGTTAAGCTGCACCTAGCTTTTAATTTATTTTTATCCCGTCTTTTTTAGATAAAAAACACGCTAACAATTATACACATCCAGGGAAAAACTGAAAGACGCGTCATGCATATGAATAAAAGACAGAAAAAAAAAGAAGAAAGAAGATGAACAAGGAAAAGAGAAAAAGGTGAATAAAGACAAGAGAACACGAACAAGATATATAACAGGAATAATATGATCTCGTGTTATCAACACGGATCATAACACTGGTGCTAGAAATTGAGCACTTGAGTTTCTCATAATCAAACTAGTTGTCACTAAGCCGACAACGGATATATGCGTGGGTAACATACAGACATCTTTCAGAAAGCTTAAATAACTGGGGTTTAAACAAATTATGTTTATGGAAATTCTACAGCAATGGCTTTTTGCATAAGCTTTTCCATGTTTTTATGTGACTAGTTCCTTGTTTTTCTTTCCTACTAAAGCCACAGTAAGAGATTACGTAACAAGAATTACACGTCAGTCTTTGTTTGATGCATTACTGCTTCTTTGTCTATGGTAACAGCCCCTACAATATTACCCGTAAGCGCTTATGAAAGATCTATGTTAAACACTATTTTTAGAGCAGATAGAAAATTATACGTACTACAATCCTGTGACTCACTATTATACAACTACGTTTTCTGCTAAGTTGAGTTCTACAAAAGAAATTGATGTCCACGTGAGTCGCTTATCTTATTGTCGACGGCGAAACAGATGAATAACAAATACAAGTCGCTCTTTTTGGGGCGGTCGCATTTTATCAAACTAACTGAAGCGCAAATATGAGTGAGGCTTTTTTCTCCTTTTTGCCTACTTTGCCCTTTTCTCGTCTTTTTACTGCTTTCTCTTCTTTTTTTCCTTTTTTCTTTCTTTTCATATCTACCTTTTTGCGCCTGCCTCCATTTATTCTTTTATTTTATTTTTCTCCTACAGTTCGCCACTTGTGAATGAGTACTCGTTATACATGTATTAATTATAGGGCGCTCAAGGTCAACTATATATGACTTTGTTTCTCAGTTAGCTCTGTTTTCTTAGACTTTCATTTAAATTTGCGAGCACTTTCGAGTGTTATACTCTAGCCAAATACAAAAATTACAGAAGTGATCAGATAATATCTACTCAGCCATGATAATGCATGGTTTCGCTGTGTCTTTTTCATCTGTCATAATGTATTATTTTTGAAAAATCATACGGATATAATGGATTTATAAAGTTGTACTATTAATACATTGGAAATATTCAAAGTGATTGAAAATAATGTATTCTAATGTACACCATTTTAAAGATCTGTCAGATAAAATAAAATACATCGTATAGTCTCGTTTCATAATGCCATAAAGGATATTTATTCTTTTTTTCTTGAGACTGGATATGTTACTCTTTCGCATATTCTTTTTCTTTAAATGTTTTTTCTTTCATGTTTGCTCGTGACGCTGTTCTAAATCATTCTCTTGTTCTGTTACTCTTTTTGCAAGCTCTGCCTGTTTGCTTGACGGTATTATTTGATAATATGTATCTTTGAGCAGCGAAACGGTAGGAATATTGACTTAGGGCTTTATAACTCAATATATACTCCTGAATCTGTCCACTAGATGGCAATAAGACGTCTGATCATTGTTACAGGAACGGTATTCAGAATCGATCATGAAGTGACTCAGTGGTTTGCAAAACTTTATTCACTTCTACTGATCAATTGAGTAGATTTTCAAGAGGATATGAAGTGTAC